AGCCAGAAAGGAGACAGGCTATGGGATGTGGGAAAAGTTTAGTTCTATTATGATTTATATTTACCGGCAGAGGTTCATTTTTATGACCAATGAAAGGGATTTAGAAAATTGTGAGCCATGTTGTTGGACAAATCAAATGGCTTAGAAACAGTGATTAGTAGTTGAAGAAGTAGTCTGCAATTATTTTTTTGACGTTTCACCAAGTCAGGTTCTGAGATTTACCCTGAAATAGATAAAAAAAATGGCAGAACAAGCAAATGATTATTTAGTAGCCCAAAATGAGAGTGAGAGCAGAATGACCTCTAAAGTAGAATATTTGTAGCTCAGGGTTGAATGAGGAGTTCTGGGTGCTCTCTGAGCTTGGTTGTTTTCTTGCATGATGATGCAGGAAATGAAACTATAAATAAAAAAAGAAATAGATTAATGTACCAACAGAATGAATTGTAAGGTGAAAATAATTATGTTCTAGAGTGCCCTGAAGTGTGTGAATTTTGAGTGATGCACATGGAAAGTTCTGGGGAAAAAATGCTTGGTGGAACAATGAAAGGTTGTAGATAAGAAAAAAAGTGAGTGTAGTGTGAGGGAATGATTAATAGAAAAAATGATGAGCAAAAGGTATTGTATGTAGTGAAAAAGATAGTTACAAAACTTACAAAGAACATAATTCTTTGGAATACTTAAAATTAAAAGCATCAAGTAAAATGGGGAATGCTTTTCTGGAAAAAAGGTCTTTGCAATATCTTCTTTTCTTATCTCATGTCTTTTAGTTGGGTTTTTTTTGTGCTTACCAATTGTTACTCTTTTTCTTCACTTACATAAATTGCTTACCTTCCAAGGGAATGTCAAGAGAGAGGTATATGTATGTATATTTCTAGCAGTATCATCATTGCTTACAGCTAGTTTCCTTGCCCTGAACAAGATGCTCAGGTAGACTGTTACCAGATTTAACTAGTTCTTTTGTAAAGTTTAAAATTAAAATAAAGTGATTCTCAGTGCTGATAAGAGCAGTTTTGCACATCAGTATTTGATTCTTCCAGAAAGTGATGTTCAGTTTATTTTGCATAGAATTGCCTTCTTTCTGGAGAACCGACTCAATTCACAGTTTAGGAGTTTTCCTAGGTTCAGCTGGGTTGCTTGAAGCTCAAGATGCACATTTTCTTGCATATGGGACTGTTCTTGGCTTAAAGTTATGGTTAGACATAAGAAAAATTGATTGCTGGGAAAACCTTATGCTGAAGCTGAAAGTGCTTCATTGACTTCTGGATAGCAGTTAGATCTGTTAAAGCTCAGTTCTCTATATTTATGGACCCTAATAAGAGCCCTGGTGGCACAGTGGTTAGAATGAAGTATTGCAGGCTAACTTTGCCCACTGCTTGGAGTTCGATCCTGACGGGCTCAAGGTTCAGCCTTTTATCCTTCTGAGGTTGATAAAATGAGAACCTAGATTATTGGGGGAAATATGCTGACATTATAATCTGCCCAGAGAGTGCTGTAAAGCAGTATGGGGTGGTATATAAGTCTAAGGGCTATTGCGATTTTTGGGTTCCTACAAGATTTGTGGCTTAGGTGCTCAATGGAATATCTGTTTCCAAGTCTGCCTTCCCATTTAGTACAGAGTGTACCAAGGTTTCTCCCTGAGTGCTATGAGAAATAAGGTGAGTAGTAAGTGCTAGAGAGATCTTTTTGGTTATGGCTTCCCTCATCTGTGGAGCTGTCTTCCTGGTGAGATATACAATGTTTTGTTTTCCATGAAAGAAGGCACTGCCCCTTAACACTTTTAAAATGCTTTAATTGGTTAAACTAATCCTATTTTCAGCACCATTTTTAGTAGATGCTATTGTATGTAATTTCCATCAAGATAAGTGATCATTTTACCTGCTAGCAAGGATATGTTATTTCTATAAGCCAAATAGGTCAGCTTCTAAGTAAGGGAATTAAAGGACTTTATAAATTGGAATATAAAAATAGAAACATACCACTGGAGCACTTTTGAGACTCCCTGCCTCTGGCCTCATATTTTGAATATTTAAGAGCATTAGTGTGAGAATTAAAGAATTAGAATGAATGGTGTGTGAGTAGAGTTCATTATCAATTTTACTACTATTTATTTCTTGCACTAAAGAAGCACCATGCAAAATTGACACCCCATGCGGTGTCAGTTATAGTGGTTTATTCTTTGATGTTCTGGTAAATAGAAATCACTGTAAAGAGGACTCCTTGTTTGCAGTGTCCACTTCCCAATCTTTAAATCGTACTTGTTAGCCTACTTTTGCCTTCCAAATATTTCTTTGTGGATAACTTTTTTTACTCTGTGTATAGAGTACAGAAGAAAATAGTGTTTTGCATCCTAAAGTCTATGCCACTATTAACCAATTCATTGTCAGCTTCCCAGGCTGATGAAAACACCCTGCTAGATTCTTTGTCGCTTGTTCAAGGGTTATCAGGCAGAAAGATCAAAAATTCCAGGTTGAATTTTTCTGGGTCACCTGTGCATATCTCTTCTTTAATCTGAGTCATGTTATTATACGTGATTTTCCAAAGATGCTAAGAAAAATAAATAAAAAAGAAGAAGCTTATTTTCAGAAGAGTACAAAACTGAGCTCTTTTTTAAGCCGCAGAGTCCATGACTGAGCCACTGACCTTATCTCCTCATAACAGAACGCAGTGCAAATAGTCTTTGGTATCAGGCCACATGCACTGCAGGTCTTGGCGTGTTTGGGTCTTTTCCTGTGTAAGATTGAGAGTATTTTGGCAACGTTTCGACAAGGTCCCTCTCGCCATCTTCAGGCCTCGTTGAAACGTCGCCTTGGGACGTTGTCAAAACGTCGCTAAGATACTCTCAATCTTACACAGGAAAAGCCCCGAACATGCCAAGACCTGCATACCTGTATCCATGAAAATCTATGAACATAGAGTGTTCCAGCTTTTTTACTGCATTTTTGTGTTAAACACAAAAAAGTTAAACACAAAAATGCAGTAAAAAAGCTGGAACACATTTCCTCACTAGTCCAGTACATGAAAGCAACAGGTCATAGCACTGACTTCAATGGCACCAAAACCCTAGCCACTATAGAAAACCCCAGCTACAGAATTATCAGAGAAGCCATAGAGATTGAAAAAAGACCTGAAAGCATGAATAGAAGAGATGATTCCACCAGACTGTCAATTATTTGGAACCCTGCACTCACAAACAAAAAAATCTCCACACCACAAGCCAGGCAAACACCTGGGCACAAACAGACTCCCCCTGATACCTCCAGCTCAAACACACCCCAACCAGGCACCCAGACGAAACCTAGCTTCCTAACAAATGATAGCCATCCATTTACTCGGAGCCAAGCTGCACTAAAAGCCTCCAATACAGGAACACAATGTTGCCAGCCAATCAAGACACAAAAAAAGCCACAAAACAGACAGAAGATGTTAGAAAAACCAATCAAGCAGAACACAGCAAACTCCAAGACCAATAAACACAGACCAAGACTCCCAACCAATCAGGATGAAGAAAAACACCATTCTGGCACAGCAGTAGGCTAGCCCCAAATTTAAAATAGAAATGGCTGTGAAAGTCTGACTCACAGACGAACACAATACAGAAGCCTGATGATGGCAGATGAGATTCTGCCAAAACGTTGCTACAACTTTAAAAGCACAATTATAATGATGTGGGAAAATACCTGAACAAAGCTGAATACCACA